TTTTTTTTTTTTTTTTTTCCTACTTGAAATGATATAAACATAGGCACTTAAAAATACTCACTCTTTCTGATCTGCTGTTGGGGGTTTGCTGTGATGTATGTACCAATCTGGCATCGTGTATGTTACCGGAGAGCCTTTCCGGGTTCCAGGGCCAAAGTGCTTCAACAGATCTCAAAAGGAAAAACAAAACAAAATGCCTATGAGTGGGTCCTGCTGCAGCAGCACACACACACAGTCCTCTGTGATAATTTATCACTCAGCCTGCATGGGCCAATCACAGTCACCAGCTGTCCCTACCAACATACGAGCAACCAGGCTACCCTCATTCAGTCCACCCTCATCAGGAACTGGAGAAATAAAAGTTTATTTCACTTTTGATTTCTTGGTAAGGTATAAATCCCAGGACATCAGAGGAAGAGAATCCCAAATGCAGTCTGGACAGAACCTGCATCCCAGAGGAGCTCCATCCTTGGTCTTGGAGCTTACTAAGGTGAATCTGGTGTCGTGCCTACAGCTACCAGTGAAGCCTCTGGGCTCTCTTTCTGATTTTCAGATCATGCTAGAAGACAGCATATCAAGGACATCAAATCTAACAGGCCTAAAAGAATTTAAGACAACTATACCCGAATAATGTTTAGTTTTTCATGGAGGCAAACTAACTTGGAATTTGACAAGTAATAGCCTGTTTCGCATACACTATATATATCCTTCCTAGCTTTATGTGATATGTTTGGCCTGAAATTTAAATAGCAATAGGGAATGTACAAAATAATTATGAATGTATAAAATAAGTATCACTTCTTGGCAAAAATATTTTTATTTTTCTCATAAAATATTTAGAGATTCTCAGCTTTTAAGTTCCAAAATACACAAATTCAAATAGCAAACATGGAGAAGTAAAAATATTAGGTCGGTTTTAAAGAAGGGGAGGGAGAATCTGCACCAGAAATGTTAGTTAAATCATACAGATAATTTCTCAGTTGCTTTTACAAATACAACGTTTCCATATTTAAAAGTTGCTTCAGATTAAGTTTCTAGGACAGTATTTTTCTTGTTGGTGTTTCCACTAAGGGTTGGTAGCATTTAATTCTTACCTGGAAGAATAGCAACACACTCTATTCTAAGTGAAAACATGCCCTAGCCAAGAACATAACACAGAAAATGAACACTCCTAGAAAACAAAACAGAAATATCACATATAATCCTTAAAGCTATTTATTGATAAAACTATTAACAGAGAGTCCCCTCTATTGTCCAAGATAATCACCCAAAGTTAGGGTAGAATTTAGGAAATTGACACTAAATATTCCAGCATTTTGTTGGCACAAAAAATTCCAGTTGGAGAGTGGGACACAGGCCTGAGGGGTGGAGTAGATTTATCAGCGCT